TTCCCGCCCAAGTCTCTAACCCCTCTGGTAGATGGGAGAAGCATTGAGATACCACTGAGCCAGTAGAGGCCGAACTCACTGGCTGAGTCGGGACTGATGGCACACACCAGTACCGGTAGGGAATAGAGACTGGTAGAATATCACAGGGGGACACACAATGGACCCATATCTGGTCTAAGTGCATGGGGAAACTCACCCTCTCCAACAACAACTATACACTTCCATTGTAAACTGGGTTATGATATAGATTTTACATTAAAAATGACAAAATTTTGAGTTTATTACTTTCCTCTGAGGACATTGTTCTTCAATACAAAAAGGCTTATGACAGTGAAAATTAAAAATTGCAGTTTGGTTCTGAAATTGTTTAAATATCTTCATAAAATAATGTCTCCACCACATACACCTGTATAAGTAATACACATTTGCCAATACAGCTTCTGTTTTAGTCATCCCAGATAAAATGAAACCAACTGGTTTAAAAGTAAAATCAAAATTCTGTTAACTCTTGGAGCCAATCAGTGAAACCACTTTTTATGTATATATTTCTGTATTTTTTAAATAAATTTAACCATTTTTCTTTTCATACATTTTTAAAGATTTCTTTGATAAATTACTCCGAATATGGGCTCTCATCTGTTTTATATGTAGTACATTTCCCTGTTGGAAGAGTGAGGTCCCAGCTGAGATTCGAACTGGGCACCTTCTGAATACAAGTCACAAGCATTACTGCTTGAGAGAACTTGCTCAGTTAATAACTAAATGTCTTGAATCATTAACATTTTAATATTGTGGTGTGGTAGCAAGTTTGTAATTGTAACACTAAGTACCTTCACATTACTGATGACCTGATAAGACAGAGCCACACGACTTAAAACTGAGGTTGTCTGCACCTTAACACTAGATAAAATCAAAAGCACAATTACAGAAAATTTAAAAGTATCACTGATTATTCCATAAAGTATAGATGACAAATATTGGCTCCAGTCCAAAATTGGCACCAACTGAGATTTCAGTTCACAATGGCAATTAACAGGTTTTGTCGGTACTAATATTAGAAAGCACTTAATTCACTACTTCACTAAACCATGATTTTTATGTAAGATATATTTGTGGTATTAATTTATGTTTACACCCCAAACACTGACAAGTTTATTTTCTATATTGCTTACTACCAATTATTTTCATCCACAGATGGACAGTTTTGGGATGAAAATTAAAATGAATACACTATGAAGTTTTACTTAAAATATGCTCCACTGCACAAGTAATATACTACTCACATAGTACATGATCAGCTGTTATAAGATGGTTACCATGGTAAAGATTTTTCATCAGGTGTGTCAGAAGCAATATGAATTTTGTGTATCTTTTGTAAAGTCTGTTCATGGCTAAGTGAGAACTGGTCCATAAAAATCTTAGTAGTTGCCTCAGGAAGTAGAACCTTCATAATATAATCAAAGTGGTTCATATAACTGTACTTACGGTAGAAGGTGTTGCGTATGAGAAACAGCAAGTGATTTAACTGTGAATCTGTGTAGGGAATCGTAGAAACAGCATAGCAGAGATTACGTGAATCAGTGCCACCTTTTTTGAATTGTTCATGGCGCCAGCAATATATCTCACCCTTCAGAATGCCATAAAGGTATTTTACGTTGCTCTTAAACTTCTGCTCTAGCTCTTCTAATGTGAGATGTGAAACTTTGAAGTCCTCTTGATTGTTACTACTGGTCACTGCTTCTTGTCCATGGTTAGTTTCAAAGTTATCTTTAGTTTTCAAAAAGACATCTGGAACAATTTTTAACTCTTTCTGCTCAGCACCACATAATAACAAGTCTTCAGATATGGCAGTTCCTTTTCCTGATTCTTCTGATGAACTGGGAAGAAGTTCACCCTCATTTACAGCCTGTACAACAGATTTTAACTGCTGCTGGTAAACATTTTGCAGTGAAGACTTCCTGTCACTTTTCCCCACTTGAGATCCAAAATATGAAGGGATATGTCCACTGGCCCTCTTAGAGATCTCTGCAGCAGATTTATGCCTCTTTCTTCTAGCAGAAAGTATACTGCATTTTTTTTTCTTAGTATAATTTGAATAACCTGACAGTTTGGCCTTGCTGCTGCTTTTGTCAGTATCATAATCCACTGGTTCAGACTTGGTCTGCTGAATTCTGACAGAGCATTTGGGTTCTCTTACACAATGACCTAAAGATACTGGACTTTCAACTGACAAATTTTCTGTTTTACTTATAAGTTGTATTCCAAATTGTGTTGTGTGGATAGGTGTGCCTGGCACACAGTCATCAGTGCTTGATATGTGTGGAGTTTCAACACTTTCTTCTGAACTACCAAACAATGAAACATGTTCTGTTTTTTTCGTTTGAAAGTAATGATTTATTGTTCGGTTATTTTTGTGTGTTCTTTTATTATTCAATTGAGATATTCTTGTTTTCGCTGAATCTGATTCCTTACTGTTACCTCTTCTTATATACTTATTGTCTGCACTTGTTTCTTTAAATGAAGTCACTTTCATCACCACGTCTGTTTCCATAGAGCATGTTTTATGCGTTCTGTTTGAAGTATAAGCTCCTCTGCTTTGCAGTTCACTTTTCCCTTTATTCTCTGCTGTACTGTCAACCTTCCTTCTTTCACTGATTGTGTCTTCATAACATCTTGTAGGATTCTCTGTCACAGTCTTTGGATCATTGAGCATATCATTCTCCATTTTCCATTTACTTCCACTGGTGCCTTCCTCTTTATATATGACATTTGCCATGTTCTTCCATTTGGGTCTGTTTACACAGAATTTCCCTTCATATTTTCTTGCATTCCTTGTCTTGCTCAAGTGATGTCTGTCATCATCAGAAGATGAATCGCACTTTGGTCTTTGTTTATCCTTTGCACCACTACAATCATGTGATATATTTTGTTTTTTCCTAGGGCTAAATTTAACTGATACTGCAGAAGTTGGTTTACTGTTAACAGATTCCACTTCTGCACCCAGATTACTAAAATGAAAATCACACTTGTGTTTACTGTTGGGAGAAGAATGTTCTGGACTATCTGGATTTACATACTGCCTGATAACTGCACCAGTGTATTTGGAATATTTCTCAATGGTGAAGAATTTCTCTGGAGTATCGGACTCACAGCTGTAAGAATCACAGTCATCAGAATAACCAGGGAGACTGTCAGTAGCCACATATGCATTTGTGCGGTCTTCGGCTTCTTTTCTCAATTTAATATCATTGGGTATTCTTTGAAAATCTTCAACAGTTTGCCATATTATTTCACTGTAAAACTTATCATCTGCCACAGAGTTTAATTTCAAGTTTCTTATTCTATTTCTTGCATATGCAGAGCTCTTTAAACCACAGCTTCCAAATTCTGAATAGTTCTCTCTGGAATATAAGCAAAATATGATTTATTTGGTACATGTTATGGCCAGAATAATATACAGTTATGAAAAATCAACTTCCTTACAGAACCACTGACATGATGCAAGATTGACAGATAAAAAAAAAACTCCATGGTTTTAGTCCATAAGCGAACTATACTGAGTGATCACCACTTGTTGGAGAAGTTAGTGATTGATAGATAAGTAGAATTACCTGCACACACACATGGGTCACCAAAAAGGGAAGGAACCATATTTTCCATTAGGAAATTAATGAAACTCTCAATGAAACTACTAAAAAAATTAAGAGTTTGTTACAAATACAATGTCATGTTTGGATGGGTAATATTACTACTGCATATGTCTATGCCACAACTGAAGATACAACTTTTATGAAGAATTAGAATGTACAGTGTATTCAGTCAGGGGGCATGCGGTAGCGTAGTGGTTGAGGTGCTATGCGGGTTAAAATCCCAATGAGGTCATTGGGTTTTTTTCAGTTGACCTAATCCTTCCAGCCGCACTAGGGCCTGGGGTTTACTCAGCCTCTAACAGAAATGAGTACCAGGAATTAAATAATTTTCCTGGGGAGTAAAGCGCGGCTGGCACGTAAGGCTGACAACCTTACCGCCATCTTTGAGCTGACTGTCTAGATAATGTGGGACCCTCAACGTCTCACAACCCTCTGGGCCTTCACGGCAGGGATAGCTTTACTTTACTTTACTTTACAGTGTATTCAGTCAGTTTTGCAGATAAAACTTCTGCCAGAAGACTTGAGTGCAAAAATAAGGTGGAAAGATATTTTTCAAATAAACTATGGGGATACACAGAGTAAATTAATAAAATTCTGGACAGTATATAACATTTGATTATAACATGATAAAATAGAATAGGCAAAACATAAAACTCTTAAAAGATACTTAAAAGCATAAAAGCCAATGGCAAGACCATCATGCCAACATGCATGCATGCAATAGGTTGCACCACAGCTCAAGCAGTTAGTCACTGGCTTCCCACTGCGGCGGCCTGGGTTCGATCCCGGGTCTGGTCAAATGGGATTTGTGGTGTACAAAGTGGCACTGGGGGGCGGGTTTTCTCAGAGTTCTTCGGTTTCCCCTGCCAATCTTCATTCCACCCAATTTTCCATCATCATAATCATCCGGGGCAGGTTACAATAGACCAATCAGTGGCCGCTGTGCTGAGTGGACCCAGTTGGACTCCACCCCCCACTAAGCGAATTTGTATGCATGCAATGCATAATTGGCTCAGTTATTTTTAAAGGGTGCCTACTGTGTAAAACACATATGTTCACGTTAATCTATCCCAAATTTCCTTCTGGAATATGTTATGAGAAGAAATTTTCCCATTTTTAATTGAAATTCTTCAATATCATATTCAGATATAAAGTATTTCCTACAATCTCTTCTAGTTTAATGCAATCCTCACTTTCATGGGGTGCATGGTTTAAAAAATGAGACTATGATACCAAGTGACAGTGTTAATAATTGTCACCTGTTAGGCCACAAATGTTGTTATCTCATATGGGGTAATTAGTTTTAAGTTTGGATTTGAACTGTTGCTCGATGTGTTTACATTTATCTAAAGCCAATGCAATTGATGTAATTCTACATTTTTTTGGGGGGAGGGGGGGTGTTGCAAAATATTACCCACATCAACTGAGATAATATCCAGTATTCCCAATCAAACTATAGTTGTTTCAATAATATTACTTACCTGGAAATATCAGCAGTACATTTTGGATAAACACTAGCTACAATCATAGACTTGTAAGATGCTGATTCTTCTCCTGAAACAAAATATAGGCTCACATGCAAGGCAGAAGCAAAACATTATTTCTGGCAAAGCTTCATGAGAGAATTTCATCTTTGCAGTTTCAGACTGTGACCTTAATTGTGTGGGTAACCGAATATAACCAAAGCTGTATTGCCTTTTTTTAGACGATATATGAGCAATTTTGTACACCATATGCATGAAATGTAATACAGGTATTGTGACATGAGAGCCAGAATAGTGGAACACAAAGAGGTGGCCATTGCTAGGCAACAGTGCGATAAACATGCAACGATAGAGGAAATGTCGGAAATGGTGTTTCATATTTGATCTGTGCCAAAGCTTATACAGTTAGGTCCCAGCATGATTTTGTGTGAGGCATAGAAAATATCAAGAAGCTTAAACTTGGTCGTTGTCAAGCTTACAACTGTTCAAATGACTAAGCTGCCGTTGTAGCATAATATATGTAAGATAGGCATGATCTGTTCTGCAAAGCCTGTACTGACAGAGGACTAGAATGTGTAGTGCAAAAAGGAAGAATTTTCAATAACATGCTGTATGTGTGATATGTACCATTGATGAAAGGCCAACCACACTCATGAGATTGTATATAAGCATCCTGTTACAGTAATATATTCTTCACAAACTTCTATACTATACTTCTGTCCACAATGCAAGGATAAAATAAAAAACCTCAAATATTACATAAAATAAATAGTTTGCATTGTGGACGGAAGTACAGTTTGTGAAGACTATTCATAAGAGACAAACCCATCTAATCAGAGAGGATGTTACTTAAGGACTATCACTGCAAGGGTTCAGTTGGGGGAAATATCTCTAGTCGTGAGTCTCAAGGGGCTTTTTACAAGTTAAACTGATTGGCAGTGAACCGTAAGTCATAAAGTGATTCTTACTTTGAGTTTGACTTGATTTTGTATGACTTCTGCTTGTTTCCTGCACAATTTTGTTATATACGGGGGTTGTACTGAAAGTCATGAGCAACAATTTTTTGTAGAGTAACATGCTTTATTATTGACAAACCAAATACACCACCTCAATCTACAGACCTTTCTTCATTTTTCCACATAATCGCCACTTCTTTGTACACATTTCTCCCAGCATTCTGGGAGTTTGAAAATTCCTCTTCTGTAAAATTCCGTTCCAGCCATCCGAAGACACTGGCACACAGCTTTCTGAATTGCCTCCCTTGTCTCAAAACGTTGTCCACGCAGATGATCCTTCACAAATCCAAAAAGATGGTAGTCAGAGGGTGCCAGATCAGGGCTACAGGAGTGTGCGGAAGAACTTCCCACCCTATCTTTGCAATTGCTTCCAATGTGAGGTGAGCAGCATGGGGGCGAGCGTTGTCATGCAAGATGATGATGATTCATCCCAGACGTTTATTGCGCAATGCACGATGGAGCTTGTGCAGCGTCTGGACATAACGAGCAGCGCTGATGGTTTGCCCAGGTTCCAGGAATTCGGCCAGAATAAACCCCCCTGCATCCCAGAAGACTGTGCCCATCACCTTCACAGCTGATGGCACTGTCTTTGCCTTCTTTTTTGATGGAGAATGCAAATGGTGCTATTCCATACTCTGCCATTTCATTTCAGGCTCGAAATGGTGAAACCAGCTTTCGTCATCTGTCACAATACAGAGCAAAAAATCATCGCCTTCGTTTCGATATCTCTGCAGCAGTTCTGAGGTGATGGCTTTTCGCTGACCTTTGTGGTCTTCGGTCAATAACTATGGGACCCAACAAGGACAAACTTTCCTATAGCCCAAGCTTTCAATCATCTCCTGTACTGCACTGTACCCTATTCCTAGTTTTCGGGCTATTGTGTCCACAGTCACACGCCTGTCATCTTGAATGATCTCATCCACTCTTTCCTTGTTGCATTCAGTTGAGGCTGTTCAAGGACGACTGCTCCGAGGCTCATCTTCGATGCTGGTGTTCCCATCTTTAAAATGTTTCACCCATTTTCAAACACTGCTCGCACCCATGCACACACTTCCATAAACACGCTGAAGTCTGGTGAATTTCTGCAGCAGGGATTTCCTCTTTCACAAGAAATTTGATGACAGCACGCTGAATGTTCAGCTAAATCTATATTTATGAAGTTCTACTTACACAGGATAGCACTGTGCAGTATAACACATGGTGTGTCATTGGAGAAATCAGAAGAAGTCAACTGAATATAAATACACCCAGACTGTCCTTCAAGGTACAAATAAAATAAATTTTCTAACAGTTAATTCACATTTACTGAAATATACTTGACTTATGCCCCACCAATCTCATCTTCTTTGATTTGAGTACTCTAAAATATGCTCCACACTTGCAATTTATTTCATCCTCCTGTTATTTCCTTCTTGTTGGATCCAAACATGGACACTTAGGGCAGTAGATCAGAAACATCTGGAAAGTTTCGAAATGTGGTGTTGGAGAAGGATGGAGAAGATCAGTTGGACCGATTATGTGAGAAATGAAGAAGTGTTAATTAGAGTCAGTGAGCAGAGGAATATCCTACACGAAATAAGAAAATGGAAGGCTAATTGGATTGGTCATGTTTTACGCAGAAACTGCCTTCTAAAAGAAGTTATTGAAGGAAAGATAGAGGGGCGGATAGAAGTGACAAGAAGACGAGGAAGAAGACATAAGAAGATGCTGGATGACCTTGGGGACAGAAGAGGATACTATCATTTGAAGGAGAAAGCTCAAGATCGCATTAAGTGGAGGAATTGTTTTGGAAGAGACTGTGGACCTGTGGTCTGACAGATTACTGATGATGATGATGGATCCAAATATTCTCTTCAGCACCTTGTTTTCAAACATTCTTAATCTGTATTCTTCCCTTAGGGTGAGGAACCAAGTTTCATATAAAAAAAAGGTTAAACTATTATTTGCATTTTCAGATGGGAAAGCAACAATTCTGCACTGAATCCTCACAAGCACTCTCTGAATTTAATGTTCTCTAAATCTTATTTCAGATAACTGTTGGGTCTACTTAATCTAACAATATAATTTTGTTACTGATATAAAAATTGTTACATATTGTGATCAGTACCTGAGTCTTGAAGAGCTCCTACCAGATCACCATTACTTTGGTATGGGTTAATGATATATGGGTACACAGCCAGAAAAGGTTTAAACATCAGACTGAAAAATAAAAAGATATTTTGCAGAAGATCAATTTCATATGGTTCCACTATCTAATTAGTTAATCACTGAAATGAAAGAAATTCCTTAATTATGGAAAACACTGTACATTTAAGAGGGATCTACCATCTTCTTTGCAGAAGCTGAAGTTCTGAATATTTTGGCAAGCAATCTGTTGAATTTCTTCATTAGTATCATGTTAGTGCCATTATAGTAAAGTATTGCTTTTGTGGTTGATGTTTATGGACCCTGTGCTATAAGTACTGAAATGCAGCACCTGTAATGATAGGTCACAGCACTGAGCAAATTGGTTCATGCAGTAACCTTTCTGATTTGTATTCAGGAGACACATGAATACTAAGTATCCAGATTGGAGTTTTTCATTGTTTTCTCCACTTCCTCCAGGCAAATGCTGAAATAGTACCATAGTCAATAAGTTTGTGGACTGGCCGCAAAGCTTCATTGAAGTGCATTACAGCGGATAGGTTGAGGCACGATATGATGCCCTGTCAGTTCATCTCTTGTTACAGCAAGAGAAAGTTGTGTGCAAACAGTGTAAGCAGAACTATGGCCTCTATTGTGAACTGCTTTTATATGCAAGTGGTGGAAATTGGAAATGTGGCAGTTTGAACAATGGGCAAACATTAAGTTCGGCCAAATGTAGGAAAACCCCATGGCCAAACGTTTGGCATATGAAGAATTGGCTGTTGCCACACGACAATGCCCCTGCACATCGCTCTGTTCTTGTTCAAGAGGAACTGGCAAGGCAACAGGTCACAGTTTCGCCACACCCTCTGTACTCACCTGATCTCGCACCATGCGAGTTCTTTCTTTTTCACCGCTTCAGAGTAAAGCTACGTGGTCATAGATTTCAGTCGTCCAAGGAGGTCATCGATGCCACAAGAGGCGCTGTATGGAAATTTCCTGCCAATATGTTTCAGCAATTTTTTTTGGCAGCTGTATCAACGTTGGCATACTTACATAGCAGCCAATGGTGACTATTTTGAGGGTTCATGTGGATCTGTGTAAATGTATGTGAATACCTTGTAATATGATGCCATAAAACCACAGTCCACGAACTTAATGACTCTACCACATAGTACCTTCCATGACCTTTTGGGGTAATTTACTATTCACTACCATCCAATCATTATCTGAGTTACTGACAGCATCAGTAAACAAAAAGTACAAATAATAAAAAAGAGGAAACACTGCTGTAGAAATTGTACATATAACATAAAAAAAGTCCTACATTCAGTTTTCACCAAGCATATTAGCACAGCAGAAATGCGTTTCACTTGCAGTTGGGAGGTTCCTACTCCATATTCCAGCTAAAAACAATGAATAATAACTGAAAAACAGCACAGTGTCTAACATGACCAAATCCTCCAAATTCCTAATTCATAATCTCTCTATCATATCTGTGTCACTGCTACATGACTTTTTCAACCAATAAAATATAATTAAAAATATTACTGATATTGTATTCAAAGTGCAATACTGCAATATATGCACTTACTAATAATCCTTAGGTACTCATATCAGTTTCCAAGTGTACAGTATAATGATCTTTTTAGTAATATCACTGATTGCAAATAAATATGTTTGTGAAATTCTGGGAAATCTTCTGAAACTTGGGTTGACTTTCGAAAGGCTACACAACATTATATTCCACAAGACAGAACTCTTCATAACCAACGCTGAGAGAACCTCAAATCCTACATATGAATAGTTAATTTCATAGCACACTGTACACTGAGACAGTCATATATGTGTATAAATGTAAAATACATTACTATTGAACATCTATTTTAAATAGCTGAAAGTAAACTGAATTTCTAGGTGTCTACGACCTCCTGCCAATTAACTTCTCATAATGCAAAATTTACTAATAAAGTAGAAGGCTTAATTACATTCTATATACATGTGTGTATATGTGTGTGTGTGTATAAAACTCTGCAAGGGGGTACCCAAAAGAAACCGCACTTATTTTTTTAACTTATTTATTCAAAATGTAAGCACAAATCTTCAATCCCCTTCAAAGTACTCTCCACTTACACTAATACACTTGTCTAGTCTTTTATTCCATTTTTCAAAACATTGTCTAAATTCATCTTTTGGGATGCTTGACAGCGCCTCCGTCGTTTTTTCCTTTCATGTCTCTTTTCATTCGAGGAAACAAAAAAAAGTCGCACGGGGCAAGGTCGGGTGAGTATGGAGGGTGAGGAACAGGGGTCATACCATTTTTGGTCAAGAATTGTCGTACAGACAGGGCTGTGTGAGCAGGGGCATTGTCATGATGGAAAAACCAGTCACCCGACTGCCACAAATCTGGCCACTGAGCTCCAAGTCACTCCCGACAGCTCCACAATTTCTTCAATTGTCCGTCGTCGATCTTCCTTGATGATTTCACGAATTTTTTCAACATTTTCATGTGTTCGGGCCGTGGAAGGACGACCAGAACGAGGTTTGTCATCAATTGACATTTCACCATTTTTGAAACGGGAAAACCACTCAAACACTTGAGTTTTCCCCATAGCATCGTCCTTGTACGCCGTTTTTAACATTTCAAGAGTTTCTGTTCCACTTTTCCCGAGCAAAAAGCAGAATTTCACCGCCGCACGCTGTTCACGAAAATCAGCCATTGCAAAAACGACGATCACACAAAACAGTTGTCACTATATACTCTGCCGGAACTAGTCCTTACCTTCTGAAGCAACGGTAGTCGGCTTATCGACTCAGGAATGTCAGCTCTATGCGCTCATAGCGGCAAAACGCGGTACTACAAAAGCTCTGCCCACAAAAAAATTAGTTCCGTTTCTTCTGGGCACCCCATCGTAAAGCCTGAAATTTTGAAATCTCTCAACTGTGACTTATAGCACTCCTTGTCTCAGAAGCCTTCATATTCCAAGCAAATGTTAGAAAGTTTTCCTTTGTATGGTCAGCAGTTAGTTTCTTCTGAGAAAACCACAGAACTATAAGCCAAGGATGAGTCTGGTTATAACACATGTTACACAGATACAGTAAATTTGACCAAGTTAATAGATGCTGCAGGGAAAAGTAGAATAGTATGAGAGAAGGTCAAGAAGAGCAGTTACAAAGCAAGAGAATACATTAAATATATTTACCCAAATAAAAATAGATACCAAAAAGATACATACAATATCTGGGAATTGAGAAAAGAGGCAAAAGTTAAACCATCAATAGGATATATTAGGCAATTCCAACATGGAATTAAAAACTTACGCCACTTGGGTATCTTTCCCTTGTGCTACAACAGTTTCAGCAAGTTCATTTTTCATATGGTTCTCAGCAGCAGTATGGAGAATGCTGTATACCTCCTTCCAATGGTAAGGCAACAACCATTTGTTTGTTCTTATTTGCTTGCCTTTAACTTTTACCACACATTCAAGTACTCGCACTTCAATTACTACTTTCTCCAAGTTAACCTAAAGCAGGGAAATTAATAATCTAATGTGCACAAATCAACAGCCCAAAAACTACTTTCCAAGGAGATATGACAGGTATTCCTCGATTTTCTTCGGTGCTTTGCTCCATGAGAACTATTTGTAAGGTCAAAAACTGTAGATTTAAAATGAAATTTCCATCTAATTTACATGTAAAAGTCACTTAACTTAAGGACGTATGTTGTGTGTACAGCAAAAATAAAGTTTGTTAACTGAAAAATGGGTACCAATTAACGCACTTAATTGCAGCAAAAATTTGTAAATCAAGGGAAACCTGCATTAAAATTCAATATGGTAATTTTATATTGGCCTGAACATTAGAAGCAAAAATCAAATTTAAATTCCAAATCTTTCTGTTTCCCAGAAGGGCACTATGTTTACTGGTATTAGGTTATTTAATAGATTGTCAAAGACCATTCAAAATCTTAGAAAGGATAGAATAAGTTTTAAAAATAATTTATTTTCATATCTCACGAATTTATGCAGTTGATGAATTTTTGGAGCATACAATAAATAGTTACAGTGTTTGTTTAGCTTTGTATTGTCTTTCTGCTTTGTTTGTTTGCGTTATGCTTGTGATCAGTTTCATGTCCATTGTATTTTGGACTTGTGAAATGTGAAATATACGTGTGTATATTCCTAACGGCCAGTAGGGTTCCAAAATGTGCCAAAGACCCTTAAATAAAACTTTGGGGAAAAAAAATGCTGCTAATGCAATACTATAAATGAAACTGACAACATATATTATGCACTAAACAAGTCCCAAAATGTATATAATAATAAAGCTAAAATCCATGCTATATTAATATATGAATGCCCTATTTTTTATTATAAAGGAACAAAGGTTATACAATGTCTAATTCATTTACAGCTGCGTTAGTTGATAACTGACTTAATTTTTGTTCAGCAGGATTGACTTATTATGCATTTAATTTTTGTAAGTTTAATATAAATTGTTAGATGTTGCAGAATATCAGTATTAGCACAGAATATCCATCAGACTACCACCATTATTTAGGAAGCCTACTTGTTTTATTTTTCACATGTTTCGGTCCTTTGATGGACTATCATTAGATAATTCTACCTAGACCAGAATCTTTAGTCTGACAAAGCATATTTATTGTCAGAAATGCATTAACAAGCTGTAATGGGCATACTTCGAAACTTGTGTGAGCACTTGTCCCATTTCTAACGCATAAACTGCTGAAATGATTTTAGCAAGTGTAAATTAATTAACTTAATTCACACGAAAACTCAACATTTCGAAGGCAATTACAATCTGGAAACGTACATCGATACAGTCTATGTAGCGACCAAAAGCACACATGACGAAACTGAATTAATCCGTAACACATAACCAGTCGTTATCCCTTAAAAGTTGATGCAAACGCAACAAACTGCACTTATAAATGTGAACTTCTTGATGCGTTTCTGAACGACACAGCAGTAAAATCTTCATGTTATCAAACAACATTAATGTGACACGTATAATATGCACCGGCTAATTTTGAAAACTCAGAAACATGCACTTGCGACGTTTTTACATTTAATCTACTGTGGCGTGTTGCCCGTCGATGAGCGGTTGTTTCGGTGGCGCAGAATTTGAATTGACCAATGATTGTTGCGGGGGGAGGGGGCATTATACGTTCAGAAATTTGGAAACACCTAACTCGGAAGATGTTAGGTTAGCCCTGTGGCAAGGGTTTTATTATTGCACAATGAGTCAGGCTATAACTTTAACGCTGCAGTTTACTACAGGATTCACCACTTAATGTTCCACAGTTTCAAGCATTGCCATGTACACATCTTTGGGATTTCGATAATCACGTTATTGTGTTGGTCCTCGGTGCCGACATTTTACAGCAACAGAAGGTCGCGCTCTCAATTCTCGGCGAGGTTATTGGATTTTCTCAATTTTTTTTTTTTTTTTTTTTTGCTCCCAATTTTTTTTAGCTATTTTGATCAATACATTTATAATAANTTACAAACTAGGGACTTAAGATCTAAATAATAATACTACATTATACAAGAAATCTGTTTGGGAGATCATGTGGAAGATGTCTTCTCAGTCTGCGGAGAGGCGGGGGTGCAGAGAGTTGAGACACTTCTTGGTTAATGTGCATGTTGAGCCGTGATCTGTATTTCGAACTTAGTCGACTGATTTCTTCTTGAACTGTAGGTATTTGTAGATCGTGTCTGATGATGGCATTGGGGACATACCAAGTTTCTCAATTTACGTAATCCTTCCTTCCACAGTATTGCCGTAGAGGTCGACTCAGCCTATAACAGAAATGAGTACTAGAAATCTTCCTGGGGGGTAAAGGTCAGCCTGCGCATACGGTTGACAACCTTGCCGCCATCTGTGAGCCGATTGTTTAGGAGATTTGGGGGCCTCGACGTCTCACAACCCTATGGTCCTTCACGGCCTGTTACAGGGAGAGCTTTACCTTCTTTCTTTCTTTCTTTCTTT